AGCAAAGTAAAAAAAAAAAAAAAAAAAAATCTATGGCATGCTATCCTTCATGTAAGAAAACACCCAAGTATCTGTGTGTGAAAAAATACAGGAAGAATAAAACAAAAACCAATGAAACTGGTTATCTGTAGAGGCTGTGTAGGAGAGAGGCGGGGAGAAGAGGGAAAGGGCAGGGAGAGGGAGGAGGAAAGAGAGATGCTTCTCTGGGTGCATCTTTTTCTAAATCTTTGACTCGGCCCATCGTGAGGTTTTACATAAATTCACACGCTCAAACAGTAAACAAACAACTGAGACCATCCAGGACGCAGAGAACCCCAACGGAATGCAAACACTACCAAGTGGACCTGACAAATGACAGATGGATGACACGACCGCATGAAGGGGGCGGGGAAGGAAAGAACCCGCCTGGGTAACTGCCGAAGACCGGGTGCTGCGCACGACGGGAGCTGTGCACAGTGTGCGCTGGGTAGCAAGTGTGTTCCTGAGGGGCGTGGCTTCGCCACTCTGGAGCTGCTTTATGTGTGTGCTAGAACCGAACAAGTGAGTGAACTTGGGTAATGAGAGCTGGGGTCCCGCTGCTGGAGAAAGAAGCTGTAAATGAAGGGGAGGAGAATGGTCAGAATGAAGCCTCAGCGTCTTTCTAGAAGGAGAGGGCTCAGGACACAGTCGTGGTATTTAACACGTACACACAGAGGGGTGCAGAACCTAGGTGCGTGGAGAGAGGGTTAACACATCCATGTGTGTTTCCTAAGACCGGAGCAACAATGGCCTGGTGGCCAGGAGCACTAGGGACGAGGTCCCGGGTGTCTGTGCACCATTCCCCAAGGAAAGGAACCAGGCCCGCCACCGGGGAGTGGCTGATTCTAGTGAATAAACCAGATGAGCCCGGAACATCTTCGGTTGCCAGAAAGTAAGGAATTGCTCAAAAGAGGATGGGCTTGTTCAAAGGACACAAGTGCCAACCTGAAGGAGCTCCTAATGGCCAAAGCTGAGAAAGTTTGAGCAAGAAGATAAATAACAGAAGTATCAGATTTAATAGAATAAAGTAAATACCCCTGAGTCCATACCGAAATCAATCAATCAATTAATGGAGAAGGGACAACTCTTCCTTAGGGCAGAATTTCAATCAATAAATGTAGAAGGAAAGAGGAAAACTGAAATCACCATCAGGAAAACTCCAGACACCACTGAAATAATGGCTGCAGACAATGCCCACTGAGGCCTGCTCAGATTAGCGAGCGGCAGTTTGAGGAGGCAGGATTTGTATAATCTCAAGGTATCTGCCCTCACATGTTTATTAACTACAAAGGGAAAGGTAACCTTACAGTGCAGAAACCCAGAAACACCACCTTGGTCCAATGATCACGGTTAATATCCAGGGTGACGGGAGCACACACAAGCCCTGATGACATGCCCTGAGGACACTATGACACTTCTCTGGGATTCTCACCACAAATGCAAAACCTCATTCCTAGCATGAGAAAACATCCTTCAAACGCAAATGGAGGGACATTCTACCAAATCACTGATCATTATTCTTTTTTTTTTTTGAGACAGAGTCTCGCTCTGTTGATCCAGGTAGAGAGCAGTGGCATCATCATAGCTCACTGCAACCTCCAACTCCTGGGCTCAAGCGATCCTCCTGCCTCAGCCTCCCAAGTACAGGTGCATGCCATCACGCCTAGCTATTTTTTCTATTTTTGGTAGAGACAGGGTGTTGATCTTGCTCAGGCTGGTCTCGAACTCCTGACCTCAAGCGATCCTCCCACCTCCGCCTCCCGGAGTGCTGGGATTACAGGCCGGTCTTTGATCACTATTCTTCATTCTACAGTTGATCCTTGAATAACATGGGTCTGAACTGTGTGGGTTCACTTATTGCAGATTTTCTTCCTCCTCTGCCAGCCCCGAGACAGCAAGACCAACCCCTTCTCTTCCTCCTCAGCCGACTCAACGTGAAGATGATGGGGATGAAGAGACCTTTATGATCCACTTAGGCTTCATGAATAGTAAATACATTTTCTTTTCCTTATGATTTTTTTAATGTATAAATATGTGTTAATGGTAAGGCTGCCGGCCAACAGCTGGGAGTCCAAAGTTTACATGGATTTTCAACTGCACAGGAGGCTAAGGGCACCCCAACTCCTGTGTTGTTCAATGGCCAGCTGTGCCAAATCCCTGTCAAAGTCGTGAACACAAGGAAAGACTGAGGACTGTCACACCTTAGAGGAGACCCAGGAGGAGTAAGTCGATGCAGTGTGGGGTGCTGGGCTGGTTCTGGAACAGAGAGAGGACATTAATGGAGTGAATTGCATTCAGGAAGGAAATTCACATCCAGTTGTGAGCAGTAGCGTACTGAGTTCCGGGTGTTCCTGTTTGTACTGTGGTCGGGTAGGATGTCGTCATTAGGGAAAGTCGGGTGAAAGGTACACGGGACCTCTCCACACTACTGTTGCGACTTTTCTATAAGTCTGAAATGAGTCCAAAATAAAAGGCTTTTAAAAAATTTATATTGAGTACTATACGCCAAGCCCTGTTCCAGATTCTGAGGCTGTGGCAGCAAACACGATGGACACATCCCTAGAAAAGACAAGAAAACAAAACCACTTCTCCTGCTCTCACACGCGCCACAGTCCACTCTGCTCACCAATGCACGCGGGGGTTTTCCCACACACCAGGCAATTCCCCAGTGGACATCAGCTGGGTGTCGTCTGACTCATTCTATTCTGACACCGTCTACCTGGGACAGTGTCGGATCCCACAGGTGGAGGGCTCCGTTCCCGAGACCGCTCCCCACTTCCAATGACAATTGCAAGCCCCAAGTCAATCTGACCTTCTGACCAACGGCTATAAATTGGGAGTTCCATGACCCCTCCTCTGGTTTGATTAATTTGCTACAGCAGCTCACAGAACTCAGGGAAGTACTTTTCCCATGTTTACTCATTTATTATACAGATGTTACAAAGGACACAGATGAACAGCCAGATGGAAGAGAGACACAGGGCAAGGCCTGAGGGAAGGCACGTGGTGCTCCCAAGCCCTCTCCGGGCACAGCACCCTCCAGGAACCCGCAAGTTCAGCCATCCCAATCTCCAAACCCTGTCCTTCTGGGTTCTATGGAGGCTTCGTTCTGTAGGCATGAGCCATTATGTCATTGGCCACTGGTGATCAGCTCCACCTTTACCCACTCTTCCCTCCCCGGAGGTGGAGGGATGGAACTAATCACAGGGCCCGTTCCCCTGGCAACCAGCCCCCATCCTGAGGCTGTCAGGGAGCCCCCAGCCACCAGTCATTGCTTTGGAGATTCCAGGGGTTTTAGGAGTCATGTGCCAGGAAACGGGGAGGGACAAAGACCAAATATCCATTTCTTATTATGAATCACAATATCACAGTCCTTGTCTATGGGGAAAAACAAGAAACAGGTTAATAAAAAGCATAATGTCCCATAGCAACAGGTGCTACAAAGAAAATAAAGCAGGATAATGTGGTAAGAGAGACAGGAGGGGCTCCTTTAGCTGGGTGGTCAGGAAGGGCCTCTCTGAGGAGCAACTGCTGAGCAAAGACCAGAATGACAGGCATAGCAGCCAGCAACGTGGTATCTGGAGGAAACCCCCCAGAGAGAGGCCATGTGCAAAGGCCCTGAGGCAGAAATGAGCTTGGCATGGTGCAGCTGGGAGTGGACAGATCCTGTAGACTCTGCTCCAATAGTGGGAAGGAACTTGTTGTGGCTGGAAGGGAGGTGACAGAGACTCAGGACTTCTCTGTCAGAAACACAGAAATTCGGACTGAAGTGAATATAAAGAAATTTCTGTGGTTTCCCACAGCTGACTTCCCTCTCTGGGCCTGCATAAGCACGTCTACAAAACCATCAGACTGGCCCAGGCAAGGGAAGCTGGACCCAGGGGTTAGGAAGCCAGTTTTACAGCCTTGAGTAAATGTAGAGTTCCATTAGCCATACCACCATGCCAAAAACCTGTATTTTTTTTTTTTTTTTTTTTGAGACAGAGTCTCACTCTCTTTCCTGGGCTAGAGTGCCGTGGCGTCAACCTAGCTCACAGCAACCTCAAAGTCCTGGGCTCAAGCGATCCTCCTGCCTCAGCCTCCCGCGTAGCTGGGACTACAGGCACGTGCCACCGTGCCCGGCTAATTTTTTCTATTTCTAGTTGTTTGGCTAATTTCTTTCTATTTATAGTACAGACGGGGTCTTGCTCTTGCTCAGGCTGGTCTTGAACTCCTGAGCTCAAGCAATCCTCCCACCTCGGCCTCCCAGAGTGCTAGGTTTACAGGCGTGAGCCACCACGCCTGGCCAAAAATCTGTATTTTTAATAAGTATTATAAAGAACATATGAACTGATCTCGGAGCCCCTGGATAGCTCATCTGTATCCAAAATGCCAATGACACTGAAAGTATGAATTGTTCTTTTTCTTAATCCAACTATCGACACATGTAACTGCTAGTTTTGTAGAAGACAAAGTCAGTACACGGAATCCATATGATGGAATGAATAAAATAACTTTTCTAGTAGTAAGAAAATCAAATGATTCTAGAATATATCCCTAATTATATGATTTTAAATCTGTAAAGTTGTCCTTTGTAATGTAGTAAATCATAAAGATAAAAATCGGTTCCTTATTTTGCACAGATACTACGAAGAAGAAAACAAGAGTTTCTGTGACCATGATGTGAGTATCCTACCCCAAATTCCCACAGCCTCATCATCCTACAGGGCCCCCTGCACCGAAGTCAAGAATGCCGTCGTGTGCCTCTCTCTGTGTAGCTTTCGATACACTTCTCACCCCCCGCAGCTCCAGAGGGAGTAAGAAAGACAAAACAAACAAGAACTGCTATGGCTACTGTATCATAACCATCTTTTTCTTCTAGTTAAAAAAAAAACAAGCAAGGTCTCATGCGGGAATTCTTTTTCTTCAGAATAGTTTTATTAGTTTGCATACTGTTTGTCAACACTCAAACTTTTTTCTCTCCTACTTTGACACAAATCCATTCAGTCAGAGTCTTCTTCTCCCCATATCTCATATATTGTAATATTATTGTGTGGAACTGTGGGTACCTCTGAGCTTGGAAGCTTGAGGTTACTGCCAGTTGCCATGGCGACCTTAAGATTCCGCACCTTGGACACAAATTTCACAAGGTCCATCTCGAGTTGGGTTAAGGTATTGAATGCATAGTCTTTGCTGGGGGAAGCATTTTGATTTCTCTTTAGTGGAGAGCGTAACGAACAGCCTCGAAGGGCAGGAGGATTCTGCTCCTGTCAAGAAAGATATTCAAGGTGAGTAATACCGTTGACTTTGCTGGTTTTGACACAGTTCCGAGAGAGTTGGGCTCATCTAAGAGAAGGCTCTGGCATCGCTCTAGTCCAGGCATCTAAGAGAAGCCTCTGGCATTGCTCTCGTCCAGGCGTTGGCAAACTATGGCCAAATCTAGCCCCCATCTGTTATTGTAAATAAAGTTTTATTGGAACACGGCCATGCTTATTCATGCGCATATAGTCTATGGCTGCTTTCACCCTACGACAGCAGAGTGGAGTAGTTGCAACAAAGACCATATGGCTCACCAGGCTGAAAATCTTTACTATCTGGCCCTTTGCAGGAAAAGTTTGCCAACCCCTGCTCTAGCCAGTTTGGACACAGTATCATAAAGTGTTGGCTCTATCCAAGAGAGAACACACTGCAGTATTTCCCTCCCTGTCCCCTTCTACCTGAAAGAATTGTTTAGTCACTTTGGGAACCAGTTGTTACTGCTTTACACCTTTATCCCTTTAGTACAGGACTCATATTTCCTTGGGACAACGACACCATTTCCACTGAGTTCAAAAATTTGTAATAAGTCAAACACTAGGAAAATTTTAAAAATCAGGGGACAGGGAATCTGTCTCTGTGAATAATGTTGAAACCTTCTGAAACACACCATAAATTCTTGAATCTCTTCTCAACTTGCAAAAATTCACTTAACAGGAACAATTGCAAGCCAATAAGCAAAAGGTCATTTTCAACTGCTTGTCCCAACCTCTTTGGATTTGGGGACTACTGTCTTCACTAAGGATATGTCGGGAAGCAAATTTGCCAACTTTGCCCAGCACCATGAGGTAGGTACTTTGCATCCAAATTCATCACACTTAACAGTCCTGCCTAAACTGACTAGAGCATCTGTTTCTCCGAGTCTGAGATTGCATCAATGCGGTGTACAAAAAAACCTTACTTTTTTTTTATCCTTACCTTATTCTTCTCACTCTCTCCTCGAAACTTCAGTATCACATAGAGCACAAAAACGAAAAAAAGCCACAGCCACTTGCTCCCAAGCCAGCCTTGGGCATGCTCCGGTAGATTCTGCCTGATCCGAAAGTGCCCCCCACAAGGCACCTTCCCCTGGGGTTCATTGGCCTCATCTCTCAGAGAAGAAAACATGAAGGCGTAGCCGCAGGAGAAGCACAGAGGCAGGAACAAGAACCATTTCAGCGTCCGCATGGTGAGCAGAGGCAGGGGAGGAAGTCGCTCATGGTGGGTTTGCTTGTCCTCGCAACTGGGAGACAGGCCCCCAGGGATGGGACGTTGGTGATGTCACAGAGGGCCCTGAGCCAGAGCCCACCTGGCCATTGTGATGACTTCGGGGTACAGGATAATGAGGTTCACAGTGGTAGCCTGGGAGGACTTAAAGGGAGATGGAGAAATTTCCAGCAGGCAACAAAAGAGAGAGGATGGGGAAGAGGGGATGCCATCTGCTTGCCTGTACATTCTTTCCGACCCCAGGGCTCTGTGGGGAGAGGACATCGGCTATTTCTGTTTTTCATTTGTTTGATCCGGACCTTGTGGTGAGCAGCGGAAAGACACAATGCGCCTCCGTGGAGCTGAGAGCCCAGTGGAAAAGAAAGATATTAAACCACAGGCTACAAACTAAGAGCCGCTGATGTATTTTGTTTGGCCTACATTGTTTCTAAAAATAATTTTATTTGCCAGCTTTACATGTTGAAGGGAACTTCATTTAAGAACTCCAGATTTCTGGCTTCCTTGCTGGTAGCACTGGGCCCACACTCCCACGAGGCCACCCTGCTGGAGCTAGGCAGGAGCTGCCTTTGGTGGCCGTGTTCTCTCCACAGTCCCCTCCCTATCACCTCACACCACCCCACCAGAGGGTGTAGTCCCTGAGCTAAGAGCATATTTTACTTAATTAAACTTGTGATAAGAACAGAACTTTGGAGACAAGAATAAAGCGACTGCTCTATATTAGGTCATGCAGGAAGACTTTCCAGAAAAAAGATATCTGGGTAGAGCTTGAGAGATGATTAGGAGGTGGCTGGGTAACATGGGGAGGGGGCTGCCATCTAGGCCCGTGTGAAGACCCCAAGCAAGAAGGAACAGCCTGTCTGACGACAAAGCCCGATGCTGGGAATAAACCTAGGACTCACCGGCGTATCTGAAACCATCAGTTGTTAAATGCCACGAAGCAAGAACTCCTGGTTAACGGAACAGCAGGCCTGCACTTGTTCCCCAGGGTCACCCGTAGAGCAATCTTCCTAAGGAAGGAGTTCAACTTTCTGCTGAGTCTACAAGAATAATCACGGGTCTGCTGGGCACCCTCATCGTGCCTTAACCTGTGTTGAGCCCAGGGGAGCAACAAAGACGTTCCATGAGACTGTTCTGGAAAACCAAAAGGGGCCCGGTGCTGCACAGATTCCTCTGCAGGAGCACAGCTCAGCATGGGCTGGAGGGTGGGGGCTTCCTGGCAGGTCCTAAGGGCCGGTGAGCAAACAGGCACCGCCACTGAACCCAGGCACCCTCCCCTAGCGGCTGGGACTTCAGAGTGGCCCGTGTGAGGAGGGCGCCCAACCTCAGTTTGGAAGCGCGTCTTTGGCATCCAGCGTCCCGCTCCCAGTCTCCCCATTCCGGCTGCTCTGAGCGCCGACCGCCGAGTGTCCCGAGGGGCCCGTGACCACACACAGCCTGTATTTTAAGTCAACTGCCTGTGATCGCGCTCTGCAATATGGTAGTTATGGTGTCTTGATACAGTGAGGGGCGAACAGACTTAGTGACATGAATGACCCCAAACAACAGGAATGCCTGGGAAGCTCTGTCACACATGATTTTCGTAATTTGGAAATGTTCATGTGTATTTAACAGTAGGAATTACATTTTTTCTGCATTGTGCTCGAAAGCCTAGATTACTTTTCAACAGAACAGGACCTGTGGAAAGACAGGTAAGCGCTAGGAAGATCTTGGAGCCAAACTTCTCTCCGGGTCAAAAGGTTCATGGGGTTGAGCGACAATCTTCTCAGTTCATTGGGGAGGCATTAGGAGGCATTAATTTCATTTCTTGGGAATAAAGGACAGTGGGAAGCTAAACAGACACATTTTAGAGTCTCTTCATCCTCTCGGTTTTCTCCTCCCAGCTCCCTCACCTCTGGAAAAGCGGCCTGGGCCTGGGCAGGCAGAGGAGGAAGCAGGCGGATCTCCTCTTGCCTGTCTGGCCCAGCGCCTGAAACATGGCCCCAGAACCCTGTGCGGGAGCCTCCCGCAGCCCCCACCGACGTATTTGTGGAAGACTTACGGGAGACACAGCCTGGTGAGGGGCGTGACCAGCAGAACAGCAAAGCCTCAGCGTCTCACCTGTAGGACGGGGTGACGGCCACTGTCCCATCTCACTGGGTCGCTGCGCAGCCCCAGCAGATGAGGCGTGTCAGTGCCTGGCTCCTCTGGGGAGCCCTGAACACCACACCAGCCACGAGCTCTGCCCACCCTCGGTGCCATCACGCCGGGCACTTGCAGGAGGTGGGTACAGTGGGGTAGGAGCGATGCCTTTGCTAAATGTTAAAGGCTGGCTAGGACCCTCCGGAGAAGCCCTTCTCCCTCCCCCATGGATAACCCCGGGGGCGGGGGAGGGAAGCACAGCAACTGGAGATACTGAAGTTTTTGATGTTGAGCACACTGTTGCCTGGGTTACTGGAAAAAACTGGACACAGTCAAAATAATCAATGCAAAACAAAGTTGATTAAGGCTAAAATTAGGAATATTGAACTTGGTAGAAAGAAAGGTCATGAAAATAACAAGAATACCTCATGATGGCAGAAGCTGTAATAAGTAAAATTTGACTAAAAGGATTGGTCAAGTTTTCTTTGTAAAGTTAAAATAAGGAAGAATGGATTATGAGAGAAAATAATTGTAACCGATTAAAAAAGGAACAAATTGTTACGAAAATAATTTAACAAAAGAAAGGAAAAAAACCCAGCAACTAGCAAATGGTTTAACTGGGCTGTGTAGAAAATTGATCAGGGAAATAAAATGGCTAACTCGAGTTTATTCTGGAAAAGTCCACAACAAAAATTCATTGGTTAATATAATTCTGATTAAAATGCTTCCATAGAGACAATGTCAAAATGTCCTTGGGGCCAAACCTTCCCATCGTTGTGAAGCAGAGAACCGCACGGGGTTTCGGAAAGCACAGGGGTTCCCCCAACTCCCTGGAATGCCCCCACCGTGTCCATGTCCGTGTGGGACACAGACCCCGCCTGTTCGCCTCCCACCCTCTCGCCGTCCTCCCCGGCTCCTTCTCCTGCTTCTGAAGGAAACCCAGGGCCCTGGGATCGGATCCAGTACAGAGAATCATCTCAATGATACCACCACGTACGTTCTAGCACTTTCTAGCAGTGTTCAGGCTTGGGGGCTCTTGGTCCATCACCAACAGTCTCATGAGAAGTTTCAGTAACTATTGACTTCAACACACACCACGGATGGAGAAAATGTACCAACTTTATGTACAACTCCCCCTTTTACCTTTTGCCAAGGGGAGGCAAGGTGGAATGCGTAGGATGTCGTGGGTGACCCCATCACCATCGGGGCAAAGGCTGCCCTGTCCTTACCAAAGCGTGAGTGCAAGGCAGGGCAGGAAAAAGTACAGACAGATGAGAGAAAAGGCGGAGCAGCTTTATTTTTGTACCAAATCATTAGGTGCCCAGCTAAGTCTCTGCTACCTTCCAAACAAAGAGACAGGGAAGACTCCCTGCGCCCCAGAGAGCAGGGCTCCCAGCTCCTTCCAGGGCGGGAGCAGAGGGACGAGGCCCTTCAGAGCCTCCAGGAGGCAGAGCGTATTCGAAATTCGTCCCTTTGAAAGCTCAGCTTCACTTGCCCTACTTAATTTACCACTGGCAGCAAAATCATTAAAATTTTAGTCAAAATGAGCCAATCACACACCCAGAAGAAACCTCGAGTCTCTCGTGATTGCAAGCATAAGAAGTGCAGCCAACACGACTTCCTGGCCGGCTGTGGAACAGTCCAAGGGCACCTGCAGGTGGAAGCGAGTGTGAACTCGGGCCTGCAGGAGAGGTGGACAGTCACGCTGCAGCCACTCACCGTGGCCCCGGAGAACCAATGCGCCTCACAGCAAGAGTGACCACACCTGCTCCGAGGTTGGTGAGGACAAGTTTATGACACCGTGCAAAGGAATGACACCACAGAATACACACTACGATCAGAGAATCACAACAACCGGCTTACAGGGAAACTAAAAGAACCTTCCTGGAGGGAGGAGCGCAGGCGTGGGCTTCAGAAGCAGTAGGACGTGTGGGTGACCCAGTGGGCCGACTCCTCCTTGGAGCGCTTGGCTGAGCTGTGGGTGGTGAAGAGGGACTTGTAGGCTTCCGATTCTTCGCTCTCAGCAATAGACCTCTTCATGGCCCCACACGGGGGCTTCTTGGCTTTTCCAGAAGAGCTCTCATTTGTTGCTGGAAAAAATGAAAAGCCAAAATCTTTAGGGTTGGGACTAAAGATCATTCCAAACGTGGAATTCTCGGACGGGAAGCACGTCAGTTGCTGCGCCCAGGTGTTCTCCTACTTGCTCTGGTGAACGCTAAAGCACATAATGACCTTACTTGCCAGCTCCCACAAAACAGACAGCTACGACACTGAAAACTATCATTTAATATCCCACTAACCACTCCTTGCTCTGTGCTAGGCACTGGTCCCAGCACCACAAATGGGTTAAATTAGATTGTCCTCACGCGGCGCGGCCTGCTTTACGGGGAGGAAATGGAGGCACAGGAGCCTGAGTGACACCCCCACCACGTAGCGCCAGGTCTAGAACCATCCGCCATTGTGGATGCTATTTATAACACAAGACCAGACCACACATTCTTTTATATAATGAATCTTTCTTTTTGTGAAATAAACGTTATTTTCCATGAGTTAAATATACTTGAGTTTCAGGAGAAACTGTGACCCTCGGCCAAGAGACAGGCAGAGGGAAGGGACTCTGAGCGGCACGTGTGCAGCCTGTGACAACCCCAACCATTTAGATGTTGGGAATATTCCTGCCCAATCCCTAAGCCAGTTCTTGGTGCAGCCTCTAAAGCTCGACACCAAGTGCTTACTCAACAGGAAAACTGAACGATCAGCGTTTGTACCCAGACCCCGTCAATCCTGCCAGGGCTCCTGATGAAGGGGTGTGTTAAATATGTCTTAGTTACCCCCTCGGGAGAGCTCGATGGCCATCTAGAGACATGACCTGGGATGAGCTTGGGTTTTCTCTTCCACTCACTGCAGTGGCACCAGGACACGAGCCCTGGGTTTCCAGCTGCCTGAAGAGCTCACTGTTGCTGCGGTAGGACCCACCTGCGCTCCTGGGAGCAGAGCTGGTTTTTTTCTCTCTA